CCCCCTCGCGGCCGCCTGCGCCCCCGCGCTCGGCCGGCCCAGTCGCGGTGCTACACCGACGCCGGCCCCCCAGTTGCCTTCCGGCGTCCTCCTTTCTCATCCCCGTCCCGGCTCTTGGAAGATCCTGGGCCTCCCCGAACCCCACCCTCGGTCATGGAGCCCGACGCCGCTCGCTGCGGCGGTGAACCTTCTCCCAGGCGGGCGGAGAGCCCCGCTCTGCCCCGGGCCGTGCGGAACCAGGGACGGAGGCCCGGTTTCCGGCGGGTCCGGCAGAGAAGAGCACTTCCGGGGACGGGAGTGCACGTGCCGGGGCGCGCGCGGGGTCGCTTCCGGGGTGCGGGAGGCAGGTGTCACCGCAGTGGGGGAATTGGGGGCTGGCCTGGGCGTGCGGTGGGTGGGCAGAGTCCGGCTCCGGGCCCGGGCGGCGGGGCTCTGGTCGCGCTCTGGTGTCGGGCCCCGGGGACCCCGAACGGCGGCGGCGGGATGGCCAAGGCGCTGACCCCCAGGCGCGCCCCGGGAGACCCCCTGGCTGAGCCGGGGCTTGGCAAGAAGCCTCCTCGGAAGAAAAGCAGGAAGAAGAGAGTCTGGAAAAGCAAAGGGCGAGAAGCAAGCGGGACACCGGGAGGCGGCGCCAGGGTCGTCGTCGTGCGGCCTCCAAAGGCGCCAGAGGACTTTTCCCAAAACTGGAGGGCGCTGCAGGCGGTAAGATTGGCGGGGCCGCGCGGACGGAGGACTGGGGGAAGACGGGTGGGGGCCCGGACGGCCGCTGTGCAGGCAGGCCTTTCGAGGCAGATCGGCCTGTTGAGGTAGACCGCGAGCCCTCGGGCCTGCAAGTAGCGGGACCTTGATTGGGAGGATTCCAGCAATACCCAGGGTTTTCAAGTGATAGTTGATGGCTGCTGCCCTCAGGTGCCCAGCTCTTGAAATGTGCAGCCTCTGCTACCTCATCTCTGTGTTTTTATTTCACCCCCAAACCAACACCCTGCAGCAGACCCCGTTAGCATCTCTGGCTTACAGACGAATAACGGGGCCCAGAAAGGTTAGAGAAGTGATCCAGGGTGAGCAGAACCGGCCCGACATCGGAGTCCCTGCCCTGAATGCGGGGTGGCGCCCTGCTGACTTACTCGGCATCTGGGCCAGTCCTTCCGTGTATGTTCCTCTCTGCCCCATGCTGTTCCCTGTAGTCCAGTCATAATTCTCTACGTGTCCCTCGGAGTTAGCTGCTGTGGTCGTCGCCGGAGGCACAGAGCTTACGGAATTGGGCCCAGCGTCACGCAGCTAGTAAAAACGTGGCAGACGCAGGTGCAGAGTCACATTTCGGGCGCCAGTTTGTGTTCTTTGCTACTACTGACCTGCAGAGCCTTCCACGGTTTTCTGGAGTCTGTTCCAGAGCCTCCGGCTGAGCAAGACAGACCGCAGAAAAGAGCTTGTGGAGCCTCTCAGCAGCGCTGGTGCCTTAGAATGGGAGGCCCCAACCACCTGTCTCGAGGGACAGGACTGATGAGGTTTCCTCGGGAAACCCCAGGGTTCTGTACGATTTATTGAGTTGTGACTCTACCTCTTTTTCTTTTTCTCCCAAGAAAGTAAAGCAAGATTAAGTGAGTGGGAAGGGTGGTTATTGTGGGGGAAACCTTGTGTTTTCTCTACTTCGTACAAGAAAGCAAATCCTCCTGTTCTTAAACGTTGTGGGAACAAGTAAGTAGAAACCCAGGTCCTCGTGTCTCGGCTCACTGCCACATGATCAGGGTCTTCACTGTGGCTGAGAACAGCCGTGCTGGGGACTGGAGCACCAGGGAAAGATTGGGCTGGAGGAATGCTGAGAGCCCTTCTTGTAGGACAGCAGAAGCATGGCCACTGGCCGCTCTTGAGCCTCTTCCAGTTGACGGACACTCTCCATCTCTCTTCCCAAGACCCGCACAGCAGTAGCAAAACGAAATCTGGTGAAGGACGCGATTTCCATGCTGCAGCTCCTTGGCCTAATCTGTGGGAGAAGTAACTCTAAACGAACTGTAAACAGGAAAACAGGCTGCTTATCATCCCCTCAGGCTCCCAGGGAAGTAGTCTCTGTTCAGTCATTCAGTAGGTACTTAAGATGGAGAACACAGTCTGAAGTTTTGTAGGAATGAGGAAACAGGTATCAAATCGTGCAATGTAATCAGATAAGCAGAGAAGTGCATTTCACCACAAGTGACTTCAGATGGGCATGAAAAAGGGCTTTTCCCAGATCGTTTGAACATGAATCTCAATGATGCAAGTAGCAGACTTTCGTAGATGTGACTGAGTAGGCGTACATATATGTACACATGTAAGCATTTTCAATCTCTTGTGCGTGATTTCCAAATTAAAACGTGTTGTGTATTTTATTTGGGGTCCTATTAGCTCCTGAAACGAAAAACACAGGCCCTGGAAAAGCCTCTTGTCTCTCAGATGGATTCCAAAATGCAGCCCAAGATTATCCAACAAAAAAAAGTGATCCCAGATACAGCACAGAGAAGTGAGATGGGATCGGAGACCACAGACCCCGAGGTCTCCGGTGCCTCCGTTCCCTCAATATCTCCAAGGAACAGGAAGGTGCCAGCACCCCCCGCAAAGGCCAAAGGAGCAGAGCACAATGAGAAAGGAGCCAAGAAAAGGACAAACGGTGACATTTCTCCAAAAGGAGGAGACATCAAGCATAAGAAGCGGAAAGCTAAGGAGGTGACTGTGGCCTTGACTCCGGCCCTGCCCACTGAGTAAGTACAGGTGGCATCTGCCCTCGCTGAAGCTCTGGTGGCCCACCTGGTCCCCTCTGCCTCCCTATGCAGCCGGCGGCCCCCATCGGCTCATCTCTGAGAACAAAGTCCCAGCAACTGCGGCCTGTCTCCTCCAGGAGGCCTAGGCTGCTGGCCCCTCCCGCACCCCCTCTAGCACCTTACCCCGCTGCCATTTCTTGGCTTATTACTTGTTTCCCCCAGGATAGAGGCCTAATGAGGGCAGGGCCTGTTTGATAACTGTCATATTTCCAGGGCCTAGAGCAGAGCTTGGCCCTTAGTAGGCCTCCAGTAACGATTTGTGGGATGAACGCATGCCAAAGCCAGAAAGACCCAGGTTGGAGACCAGTTCCTGCGTCTGGCGAGCCGGGTGCTCTGGTGCGAACTCCTGACGTCTCCTGCGCCTCAGTGTGGTCATCTGTGGTGTTGGGGGGGGTGTGAGATGCAGTGAGCTAGCTCAGCACCTGGTGATTACTCAGCAGACCCCGTGGGGGTCACTTGCACAGGGAGGACCAGGAGCTCGGGGCTGCCTCTCAGTGGGTCAGCTGGAGGTGGCATGTTTGTGAGTCAGGCTGGCGGCGAGTCGCCCGGGTTGCTGAAGGTTCCAGGAAAGAGGGGTTTGAGTGCCTGCCGTGTGTCCCTGAGCCAGGGAGGCCCTCTGGAAACGGAGCAGGCATGACAGAGCCCTCCCGCTTAAGGCTGATAGTCGAGCAGGAGAGATGGCCGGACTGAAATTATTCCAGTATTCTGTGAGTGTGGTCAGGATAAACCGAAGGAGGGAGAAGCTTGTGGAGCAAATGGCCAGAGGAGTGTGTCCACTCAGTGGGGTCGAGAAGAGATCTCTAAAGAAATGACATTCAGCTGAGCCCGAAGGACAGACTTCACCAGGCAGGAAAACACACCCTTGTGTGGACATCGGAGTTTGAGGCCTTGACGTGAAGATGCTAGAGGTCGCCCCAGCTTGGGAGGTGTTGGGGGAGGGGGGTCTGTGTTTCCATTTCATAGTTCTCACATTTGTGTTTCCTAAATGTCCGGTGATGAACCTACAACTTTGCCAATTTAGAAGCACGTGTTAGTAGTCGTTAAACCTGGCTTGTACGTTTACATCTTATGTCCTTTGTAAGTTTGGGATAAGGAGCCTGTCTTGTAACGAAACAAGAGCGGTAGAGCACGTGGTCAATCCGCAGGAGTATTGGGGCCATGGGGGGTCCCCCCGCTGTACCAGCACCTCCGCTGACCAGTGCTCGGCCTGTTCTCTCTGCCTTTTAGAGACGACATCTGGTTTGATGACGTGGACCCGGCGGATATTGAAGCAGCCGTGGGCCCCGAGGCGGCCAGGATAGCAAGAAAGCAGCTGGGGCAGAGCGAAAGCAGCATCACGCTGGTGAAGGAGCAGGCCTTCGGCGGGTGTGCAGGGGCAGGGCCACGGGTGGCACTCAGCCCCAGAGGGCGAGGGTTTCAGGAGGGAGCTCCGTCCCTCTCCCCTAGTTGAGCCCTAGTGGAATTGGGCAGGCGCCGCCCCGTCCTGCGAGGAGCCTGAGCGGAGAGCTTGTCCCACAGAGGGGTGGTGGTGGGCAGAGAGCTTTAGGTGCCGAGGGCTGGGTCCCGCCGTGTTGATTAAACTGGAACCTTTGGCTCCCTTCAGCCTGACTAGAGCCTTAGCCATGGATTGTGAGATGGTGGGCGTGGGCCCCAAGGGGGAAGAGAGCATCGCTGCCCGAGTGTCCATTGTGAACCAGTATGGGAAGTGTGTTTATGACAAGTACGTCAAGCCCACGCAGCCGGTGACGGACTACAGGACGGCGGTCAGCGGGATACGGCCAGAGAACCTCAAGCAGGGTGGGTCCTCCTGGCTGATGAGCACAGAGGAAAAGCGATGCCTGGGTCCCTTCTCCTTTTTTCTTTTATTATTATTATTTTTTAAATTTTTTTAAGTAATCTCTGCACCCAACATGGGCCTTAAACTCATGACCCCAAGATCGAGTCGTGCGCTTTACCGACTGAGCCAGCCAGGAGCTCCTCTTTCTCCCTTTGGTCCCCTTTCTGTTTGGAGCATTCGCCACAGCAAGAGTTCCGACAGTCTTACCTCACCTGGGGTGACTGTTCTCAGAGGCCTCTCAGGCACATTTGTGTCCCCACCTCTGTGTCACCCAGAGAGTGTGTGCCAGTGTGGGGTCAGCAGGGGACATGGGGTAGGTTGTAGGGTCTCGTCTTTGTGAGGACTTCAGGAAGCCCTGGGAACGTCTGAGCCGTGAGAGGCCTGGCTCAGGTTCTAGCAGGTTCCTTCTGGCTGTGGGGTTGAGAAGAGACTCTGGACCCACGAGGATGGGAACAGGAAGAGGGGGCATATGCTGGTGGTGACCTGGGCAGTCGTGACCCAGATGCATCCTGAAGGCAGAGTCTGTAGGGATTCTGGTGGATTGGCCCTGTGGGAGGGAGACTGGAAAGGCAGCAGGGGCGATTCCAAGGTTAGGGACCTGGAGAGGTCCTGGAAGCTTTCGGGATCAAGGCCACACTGCTCCTTCTTGGCCCACTCGGTGTCCTTTCTCTGCGCCTCTCAGGTCCCCTCTGCACACCCGACCAACAAGTGGTGCCCTGGCCTGACCAGCCCTCAGCTCTAGGCTCTAGGGTGGGCTGCCCCTGATCTAATCTCGGGCGGGGGTGGGGCAGGTGGAGTCACGGAGGGCAAGCACTGTGACCTGACCCTTCCCTTGGCAGGAGGGGGTGGGGGTGCCCCCAGGGGCATCTGCTAGGAGAGCAGGCCGCACTGCCTCTGGGCCCGAGGGTCTGGAGCAGCCCCCCTCGCCGGCTGCGGCGGAGCACCGTTCTTGATTTTGTCTCCAGTTGGAAAGCACGAAGTCCAAGCCTGGTTCTTACAAGATTCAACAGTTAAAATGCCTGCTGGGCGGCTGTGAGCGCTTCTGAAAGCCCCTCTCCCGGCCGCGGTGGAGCTGCACGTGGGGCTCCCCAGCGAGGCCCGCGGCGCTAAAACCCACCTCTTTGTTCTGCTCGTCAGGAGAAAAAATTGAAGTTGTCCAGAAGGAAGTGGCAGACATGCTGAAGGGCCGGATTCTGGTGGGACACGCGCTGCGTAACGACTTGAAGGTACTGCTGTCGGGCGCGGGCGGCACCGCGAGGGGGCTGCCCTGGTGGGATTTCGGCCCTGGCAACGGCCCCAGCTCCGGGTCCTCCCCGCGTGCCGGGAGGAGTGGTGGGCGTTGCTCAGCTCTTCAAAAGGCATCTGAGGCTTCGTGCCCCTTTTGGAGGCGCTAGAAGTGAGGCGCTGTGAGCCACGTGACGGGCCCGCTGCGTCCACATGGCAGAGCTGGGTGCAGCCCGGACTTGGTGCCGGGCCCCCTTCCCACGGCCCTAGCACAGTCCACGTACACAGAGCCAGGCTGCTCCCTCTGCAGCTTCCACCCGGCTGGCCAGGGCCGAGTGCTCCTGTGAGCTCAGAGCCGCGGTCTGTGGGGAAGCATCCCCTGCAGCCACCCCCGACGGCCACCAGACCGTCTAGGGCTCCTCTTGTCTCCCTCCTGGTGGGCAAGCTCCAGGGGCCACTTGTGGTGCCCTCGAGGCTGCGGCCTCCAGCCTCTGCTTCTTGAGGGTCTCTGCTGTGGGCAGAACTGAGCCGCCTGTTCCGACGAGAGCACGGGGCAGGCAGGGTGGGAGACTGTCCTTCCTGGGCGTGGGGCTTCTCAAATAGTGTTCTGAGGAACCCCGGGGTTCGCAGATGTTTCAGGCACCCGATTGTCGGTCTGCGTTGCCTTTCGAAATTTTGAACTATTGAAACCGACGGCAGGTCCTCTGCCCGCCACCATGCGGTGCCATAAACCCGCCAGCGGCCGCCATCCTGCTGGTTCCTGCTCCCTCCCCACGTGGCCGGCTCTCTCCAGAGGTCGTGGGATGAGCTGCTGCGATCCGTTAGCGTCCTGACTTCCTGCGTGTGGGACACCAGCTCACCCCGCAGGAACACCGTGCTTGCTGATCTCCTGTTTCCCTGGCTTCAGGATGGGGTCTTTATTAACGGGGTTCTTAACTGCCGGCCATCATCCTTGGACAGCGTGATCGCTTTCTATCAGAAGTCCCAGTTCACACCAGTACCCTTTCACTCGAGCGTGCTCTGTGTTAGGAGTCCTCGGGAGAGGGGGTCCCACCGCTGCACACTGGTGACACTGTGACTGTCCCCCTCCTCTTCCAGGTGCTGTTTCTCGATCACCCAAAAAAGAAGATTCGGGACACACAGAAATACAAACCTTTCAAGAGTCAGGTGAAGGTACTGACAGGGCATGGGGCTCTGGGCGTCGCAGGTGGGCTGTTTGTGTAGTGGTTGGTTCTGGTTCCTGACGGTGTATCGGTGAACGGTGTTTGGTTTACGGTTTGGCATTGCCTGTTAACTTTTAAAATGAAAAGAAACGTTAACAGGAAAAGTAGAGTTCTGCCGAGCGCTGCCCTCCGAGGCCAGTGTGAGCGAGAGCAGGTTCTTTCCAGTCCGATCTCTGTGACGAGACCCCCAGCTCTGGGGAAGAAGCTGCCCTCGGACCTGCTGCAGACAGAGGCCTGAGGCTGGAAGGCGGAGGTGCAGACTCCTTCCCAGGCCGTCCTGTTCGGGCTGACGGTGGGGGTCACCAGTCCTGGGGGCCACGCGCGTCCCTGGTGAAGGCACGTTGAGGGGCGCTGGGTTAGGGCTCAGTGGGTGACTGCCCCGACCCCCCGCCCCCGCCCCAGGCAGAGCCTGCAAGGCCTGCTCCCCAGCATGGCTGTGTGCTGCCCCCTCCCCCCTGCAGAGTGGAAGGCCATCTCTGAGGCTGCTTGCAGAGAGGATCCTGGGGATCAGGGTGCAGCAGGCAGAGCACTGTTCGGTAAGTGTGGCCTGGGGTGACGGTCCTCAGGATTGCGGGCCATCCCTAACCTTGCAGCCAAGGCGCCCTGTCAGGGGCCTGGATGACTTCTTTTTAGGAGGCCACTGGCCTATAACAATAAGATGGCAGAACGACTCACAGAGCGCTCACTACATCCTGAGTGTTTACGTTAAGCTAATAAACACTTGAACACAAAAAACTGCTGTTACTGCAGTCGTTTTGGAGAAAAAGTCCCCTGTCTAGATTGAAGGCCTTTTAGGACACACAGCCCAGGTTGGCTGGCCCCGTGGGCCTTGCGACAGGCTCCGGTGCCGGGGCCGAGGAGTGCTGGCCTGTGGAACCCAGCCCCCACATCGTGGCCCCAGCCTGCCTCACGCTTAGAGCCCGCCCTCCCGTCTGCGTGTCCATGTGTCTGTGTTGTGTCACAAGGCAGCACGTCTATCCCCTCCACCTTCCTTGGGTTCCTTTCTTCTCCCGGAAGCGAGGCACCAGAGTCACCAAAGCCTGGCCAGGATCGAATCCCTAGGACGCTGTTTTGCTTGGCTTTCTCCTTTGTGTGCCCCGTGGGATTGGGTGGCCCGTGGCTGTGCTGGTCACCTTCTGGGACGGTCACAGTGGTGTTCTGTGTCCCCTAGATTCAGGATGCCCAGGCAGCAATGAGACTCTACGTCCTGGTGAAGAAGGAGTGGGAGAGTATGGCCCGGGACAGGCGCCCCACAGCCCCTGCTCCAGACCGCAGCAGCATCTCCGTCCCTGGGCGGTCGTGACCAAGCACGGGACAGCTCGGGTCTCCCCAGAGCGGCAGCTCTGGCAAAACACGTTCACCGTCCCGGCAGCAGGGCGTGGGGGCGCGCTGCTGAGAACCGCTTCTTCCCTCTGAGTTTGCCATCTGAGACCTGGTCCACCGCTGGAGGTGGCTGGCGGGGATAGGCGCAGAGGGGCACCTGGACCTCTGCCAGGACGGGGAGTCGGGGCCGTCTGCGCCCTGCTGTCACCGGCGGAAGCTTTGCCGGGGATTTGCCCCATCCCAGGGGTGGGAAGTACCCAGTCCACTGGGTTTTCCGCGCCTTCCTTGGAGGAGGCCCCTCTCCTTCCTCTGCCTCGAGTCACGTAAAAATTCCACTGGACTCAACGGGCCCGGGCCCGTCTTGGAGTTAGCTGTGGCTGCCTTTGGACTCTGATTTTCCGAGGGCGCCATTCCTTTCTCAGCCCCCACCCCCAGCCCATGTATACACCTGCCACGTTTAAGGGCAGGGCCCACGGGGTGGCGCTGGAGCTCCAGTTGTCCAAGCTCGGTGACACCCGTCGCCCCCTGTCTAGGACGGACGTGCTGACCCCCGGCTGTTGAGCTGGAGCACAGGTGTGAGGGTCTTCTGAGAATAGTCAGGAGCAGCGGGTCGCACTCAGTGCATAAAGCCCCAGGCTTCACCGAGCCACCTGGCCGCTGCACAAGGAAGGCCCAAACCCACTGACGATATTCAACATAAATGCAGGTTTTTACTGGAGGTGGAGCTTGTGGAGGTCACTCTGTTTCTCTCGTCTAGAGTGGCCCCAAAGGACCACAGCCTGCGGGACACCTGCCGAACCCCGCGCTCCCAGAGCGCCACTGGCCCACCCTGCCCCCAGGACGCTTCCACGCCAGGCGCCGGCCTTGGGCCTTGCCCTGGAGACAATCCCCCCTGAAGCCTAAGGAAAACACAGTTCACCGGGCAGCTCTGGGGGTGTAGGAGGAAAGAAAGGGCAGGAGAGAAGGTGGGGAGGGGGCGGGAGGCCTTGGGGTGTCTGCCTCCTCAGGACAGAGCCGACGGTCCTGCGGAGCTGAGTGGCATGGTGGCCCCCAGCCTTAGCAACACCGTCTCTGCGTATGAAACCAGCTCCTGGAAAGAGAAGGGTCATCAAAAACTACACACACACAGATTCAAGTCTGTTCTACACAGAACCTTGACCATAGAGGCAGGTGGGAGGCCTGGTTTTGGGGGCCCCTGCAGGTACACACCAGGCTGGAGGTGAAGCGCTCCTTGATCTCCTGGACCAGGGGCCGGTTGCCACTGGACACCAGCTCAGGCAGGATCTCCTCTGTGGGCAAGGCAGAGGGTCCTGAGGTCAGGGCTCAGCCAGCCTGATGCCCCCCGGCCCTGGCCAGGGGGGCCCAGCAGGACAAGGCTGGGCCCATCCCCCTTGGGCTCAGCCCAACCCACGCGCTGCCTCTCAGGCTGGGGAGCCAGGCGTCCCCCACGGTCGGCGCGCGCCTGGCGCCTAGTGAGCCCTCCCACTGAACCGACAGGAAGTGGCGATTCGGTTCTTTCCCTTCCCCCCACCTGTTAGAGCTGGGAGCAGGGTGCTTCTGACCACTGGCGTCCTGGAGGGGTGGGGAGGGCAGGGGGACTCTCACGGTAGGAGGCCAGGTGGGCCAGCAGCATGCAGATGTTCTCTACCACCTCGGGGTCGTCCTTGTAGAGCTGGTACGTCTCCCGGAGGAGGTCGAGGCCGCTGCCGCCCTCCCCGGGCACTACCACCTGCAGGGCCGCCAGCTCTGGGGGTGGGGGGGGTGCCTTCACTCCAGCTGCTGTGCCTCGGTGCCCTCTAGCCAGTGGGGTGCGGCGGTACCTAGTTCTCAGGGTTGCTGAGAGTCCAAAGCTCAGGATAGCAAGGACCTCAGCCACTGGCAGAGGAGGCCAGTTTCCTGCCACTTGGGGACATCTGAGGTCGGTGTGTCCCCATGGTGGGACATGTACACCCCACCTCCCTCTCCCAGCAGAAGGCTCCTGTCCTTGGGGTGCTCTCAGCCTGTGGGCCCCAGAAGTGCTAAAGCACGTTGCAGAGTGCGACTACAGCGTGGGCGCGGGGGGGACCCCAACACTGCACACGTACACCCCCAGTTAGGGGTTAGACCCTGACTCTTGAGGGGCTGGGGACCAGTGGAAAGATTACTCATCAGACCCTCTGGAACCTGGGGATCTGACGCTCAGGTGGGATGACTTGAGTGTCCCAGCCAACAGGTGGCAAAGCCCATTCTCTCCCGGACGCGGGCCCTGGGCTTGGACCACCCCCTCCTCCATTGCTGAGCCAGGTCCCTTTTGCCCTCAGAACCTCAGCCTCTCCTCCCATCCCCTGAAGGTGGGCAGCTGATGCAGACCTGTGTGGGTGGGACCTCAGGCTGGGGGAGAGCCCCGGAGCCCAGGGTGTCTAACCGGAAAGGAAGACCCTGCCAGTGGTCCTTGGAGCCTCCCTCCCAGGAGTGAGGGTGGCCACACTCCCTTCCTCGGGCCCAGACAACTTCAGGCTGAGAAGCAGACTGGCCTTGGCCCTTGGCCCCCAGCCCAGCCCACCCCTGGGACACGGAGTTGGGACCAGATCTCAAAGGGGCTGAAGCCCCGCTCACATCCCAGCTGGCAACCTTGTCCGGTCTGCAGGCCCCAATTGTGAGGGGTTCTAGTGCCATCCTGTCATAGTGCCAGGTGCTGCGCACTGAGCAACAACAAACCGGTCCTATTACGGGGGTGGGACCTGGCCCCTGGGGTGTTCTGATAAGCTAAACCTGTTAGGGATGCCTGTGCAGACCTAATATGTGTTTGTGGACAGGGAAAAAGAATCACAGTATAGCATTCAGCCAAAAAAAAAAAAAAAATGAAGTCTCCGTGGCAACTTCTGGATGAAGGAACCATAGATTGTTGTTTTCCTTTTTTGATCCCTTTGCTTCTGTGTTGGGTTTGCGGGCGGCTGGCAGACCTGCCTTGCTGAGTTTTGTCCCCATCTCCTAGTGTTAGCCCCGTCCATAACCAGGCTCACCGGACACCTTCGCGAGGCTGGCCAGTCCCCGGTAGGCGTTGTTCACCAGCGGCACTCTGTCCGGGCACAGCCGGATGCTTCGCAGGAACAGGGCCGCCACATCTTCAAACTGGTGCTCCTTTATGCAACCTGCAGAGGGCCTAGTTGAGGCCTCGTGGCCTCGTGCGTGGGGCGCACGCTTCCCCGCCCGGGCTGCTCACCTAGCATGGACAGCAGCGTGAAGACCCCGCAGCCGGCTTCGGCCATCTCCACGTCCCTGGGGTAAGTGGCCAGCACCTCGGGAATGAGGACCGCGGCTTTCTCCAAAGGGGTCTTGTTCACAATGATAGCTGCAACCAGCGCAGGATGGAGGCGACACCTAGCCCTTGAGTGCACGCAGCCGTGCCTGCTGTATACATAGCCCCACACACCCGCCTCCCGCCTGTTGGGGGAGAGGTCAGGGAAGAGGGGAGTTTTTGGAGGGTAGGGACTCTCTGCCCCCAACTGGTCTTGGGGGATTTTGCACTCTGGGTGTGGACAGCGCTCTCTGGTTTCCCAGGCTCTCCGTGGCCTGGAGCCCTCTTTTCCTTAGAACGAATGGCCAAAGGGCCAAGACAGGGCCTGGAGGAGAGGAAGCAGCACAGCCCGGGGGCCCTTTTCTGAATCTAGAGTGACAGTAGGGGGCCGGCGCCAGGCTACCATCAGAAACCAGGGACTGCCCGGGAAATCCCAGGTGTGGCAGGCTCCTCCCAGGGCAGGAGCCACCAGAGTCTGTGAGGACCTACCCGGTCAGGACAGGAGGTCCTGCCTCTGCTGGGTGCATCCCCCCCCTCCCCACCCCCTCCCTCCCTTACTTTTCCTTTGCTTGCAGGCTCTCAGAAAAGTCTTTTTGTGGGCTCTGCTCCTGAAGTGTTTAAGGTGCAGGCCGTGGAGGCCCTTGAAGGCTGTCAGAGGTGATTAGGGAATAGCAAGGATAGCAGCCCCCCACCCCCAGCAGGAGAGTGGGAGGAGGGGCCCCCTCACCATCCACCATCAGGGCCCAAAGCAGGCTCAGGCCATTGATGCAGATGTCCCTGTTTGTGGAGAAGGTACTCAGGTGCTCCAGGATATGCTCAAACAGCCCAGCATTCTGCAGCTTCTCTGAGGCCGATTCTGTGGGCAGGCCCCAGAATTAGGGCCACAGAGAACCCCCTCCTCCAGGAAGCCTACCCTGAGCACCGCCTCCCTCCATGGTCCTTGCCAACCACAGGCCCATGCATCCTGCATTTCTGGGCATCTACTCTGGGCCAGTCATACCCAGTGTGGGGCCCTGAAACAAGAGGACATGGTCCCTCCTCTGGGTCACCAGTCCGTGTATTGCCTATCCCATGATTGGGCTGGGGCCGGCCTCCTGGGTCCACACAGAGCAGGCCTGAGCCTCCTGGGGTGGGAGCAATGATTGTCTTTCCTGGTGGGTGAGCTGACACCCAGTTTGCCTGATGGCTCTGATTTACGCCTCTTGTCCTAACGGGCTTATTCATAGCACCCCTGCTCACTCCCTGAAGTGGGCTCCAGTCAAGCGGGGTGAGGAGCAGATTGCAGGCATCCCTCCCCTGGCCACAGGACTCCAAGTGAGCATCCTTGGGCTCGCGGGCCCAGCTGCCCGAGGAGGTGGGTGGGAGCAATGCATGGTGTGTACGGCCCTTGCTTCTCCACAGCCCCCCCAGTCCTGCCCCCCCCGCCTGGCTGGCTGGGGGCCGCAGGAGCTCAGGTGCCCCGTGAAGAGATGAATGAGGCGTGGAGCCCACGGTGGCACCTGGTCGATGTCTGCACGTTTGTGGAGGGAACAAGTGACAGTCAAACAGAAGCTTCCCATCAAGAGACAAAGGCCAAGCATGTGGAACAGCCCCAGCACAGGCAGCAGAGGTGTGCCCCATCAGGGGCAGGCCACTCCCACGCCCCGGCTGAGCGGGCAGGGCCAGGCCGACCCACCCTGGCTGGAGATGATGGTGAGCAGGCTGTAGACCGTGACCAGGAGCTGCTCCGACTCGGGGTGGCTCCACAGGGTGTTCAGCAGGACAGAGATGACAGAGCTGTCACTCAGCACCTCGGCCGCCGGGTCCTGCGCCAGCGCTGCTCGGGCCAAGGGACGATGACCAGGGTTACGTCCCACACTGGGGATCATGGGGCAGGTAGCCTGCAGGGGGCCGCCCTCCCTGGCTGGGGGGGGAGGCAATGCCCCCACTTTGCGTGGAGAAAGCCAAGGTCAGGCTTGTTCTGGAGTAGGTTCCCGTAAGTGCTGGTTGCATGATGGGGCGAAGGACAGAAGGGGTGGGCACCTGCCCAGCCCACGTGGCCGGTAAGTGGCACCGGGCGGCCAGTGCTGGTTTCCAAGGCTCTGCCGGGCCCGGGACCAGGTGCCAGGGTCAACATTTAACCCACGTGGCTCGGCACCCACCTTGACCCAGGCTGCGCAGCAGGAGGGAGCAGGCATACAGCTGTATGTCGAGGATCCTCTCGTGTTGCTTCATGATGGTGATCAAAATCTCTACCAGCTCCATCAGCCACGGCAGACCTGGCAGGGCCGGGTGGCAAGGTTGAGCCTCGGCCCAGGAGCAGGGGGTGGGAAGGGTGTACGGACCAGACCAGGGAGTCCAACGCCGCTGGGAGTCTACAGGGCATCACGCACGGGCCCCTAGACAGATGAGTAGGCGAGGAAAGAATGTGTGTTTGCCCTGGGCATCTTCTTATTCCAGCA